AAAAAATGAATTTTCCAAATCAAAGGCCGCACCATAGAAGTTATGAAATAGCTGTCTGCTCATCAGTGTACATGGAGAAATATTGTCACTTTCATTAAAAAATATCGAAAAATGTGCTATACAACAGAGAACTGCAATCTACTACTATAATTCACCATTATTAAGCGATTTTGGAGAAATCCAACAACATGACAAAAATCATGATATAGAGCAGACAACAACACAACAAGTAATGTAATTAACATTAGCTAAGTCATGGGTTAGCATACTGTTGTTACAGTTCAGGGCTCAATGTTAAACTTTTTTGCAACTTTTTTTATTGTCAATTAATCTGCTGGGTATTTTTTTCAATTTATCAAATAATTGCTTTGTCGGTTACCTGTCATAAAATAGTGAACAATGCAGAGCCAAAAGTGACACATTCAGCGTTTGAAGATATTCAGTTAACTGCCATTTGATAATGAACAGCAGCAGATCCTCATATTTGATCAGATGGAACCAGTGAAAGTTTGGCATTTTTGCTTGATTTTAAATGATTAGCATAGGACACAAGGTGTCTCTTCTGAGGCAGCAGAGAGTAGCCAGTCGAGAAATTAGTTTTCTTTAGGTAGAAATATTAGGAAATTATATTTATTTAATTATTCAGTAAAAATATATGTTATTGCGACTTGGCCACTGAAAGATAACATGGAAAATGTAAGCCAAGAGTGTGAAACATTGTCACTGTTTCTGCTCCACAGTCCATTATAAACCACACATTAGATAAAGTTTATACAAACATTGACAAGGGAAACACATTCACTTTCTCTGTGATTATGGACCCTTCCCAAAACTGCCCGCCAACAATAATATCTGGCCCGCGGTCAGATCATGGTGCTTTGATTGCGGCCAAAAATATAAATAAATAAATACTTTGATAGCGGTGCTGAAAGAGAGTCATTGTTTACTGTAATGCTTTACTTGAAGTTGAGGTTTTACTTTGAAAAATTCTAAACAACATTAAAAGAGTCTGCTTGACACACCTCTGAAAGAGCCGTCAGAAAACTTGATTTCCCCTAAATGTCCTCTGCCTGGAGATACTGGGGAAATGAAAAAGTGTCCGTAGGTTGATGGATGTGGATCAAACACCGAAAAACATACACTGCAGCACATGCTGGGGGAACCAGCGGTTATGTAGATAGAAATGGCTCATAAGGTAATAAAAACATAATGGTTTATTATTTAAGGTCTTTACACACCACTGAAACAATATGATATGATATTGCATTTCTGCCAATAGACCCTCATAAATATTACACACTGAACCTTTTAAAAACTAACCAAATTAAAATCATCTGAGTGGAAGTATTTTGCGTTCCTGTTTCTAATAGATTTTTATCAATTTGTAGTGTCTTTCCTGTGGCCGCTGTAGCCATTACCAGAGCTTGAATGTGTGTCACAGAGGATGCTGTTTGAGGCACCTGAGACGTGGCTAAACTTTAACTACACCGTAGACCCACAGTGTTTAATGAACACCCACAGCTCAGGTCCAGTTACACGTGACACAGTTAAAGTCACCTGCTGGCATTAAGACGCCAGTGTTTCCCACAGGATTTTAAGAGACTATGGTGGGTGGGCCTCGGACCCTCTTGGGAGGGAAAATTTTGTACATCTTAAAGTTAAATGCATTAATTTGATGCAAAAGTAAGAGACTATCTATGAAGAACTTTGAACTCTTGTAAACAATATTGTGCTCTAGTAAACTGTTTAATTATAAACGCATTGTATAGCTATAAATGGTGATGAAACGGAAACAAAAGTCAACAAATTTATTGAATATTTTTCCAGCAACCCTAAATCAGATAATTAGAAAATAGAATAAGTAATTTCCCTAACATTTTATTATTTTATTTTTTTACTTTTAATGGACACGTGTAATATGTTTTATACTTTCTGTGAATATAATCCAATTAGTCTTATTTCCTTACTGTATAGACACCTTGTTTTGAAAATTAGCTAGGGCTGGGCGATATGGCCAAAAATGTTATCACGATGAAACATTTTATATAATTCGATATCGATAATTATCACGATAAATGTCAAATCATTATTTCTTTCAAGTTTAAAGGCTGATTTTTGCTCCTGAAGATTGAAGAAACCAGATGGTTAATTATCTGTTTCAGCTTTTCTTTAACACTTGATGGCAAACAGTGAATCACTTAACAAATCTGAGGGAGAACATTCAAAACTATTATGATGAAAAAAATGTAACACATATGATTAGTAAATATTATTTCAGTCCCTTTAAAATAAATATTTTAATAGAAAAATTAAGTTCAAATTTTTTCGTGATTCAAATGAATTAAACCAAATATTTGACGTTATATTGAACATTTATTATATTGATATTGAGGAAATTATATTGTGATAATTATCATTATTGTTTTATTGCCCAGCCCTATGTGTAACCTCAAGCTGAATTAATCAGGTCCGACCCAATTTTATAAATAATGTTGTGTGTGGTTCTCGTATCGTGTAACATGGAGACTTCATAGCCTCTCTTCAGGCAGGACTCTCATGCTGCAACACTTGTCTTTGTAAAGATAGAAAATGACAGGATAAAGTCGCTAACACGCCTGTCTACAGTCTATGGTCAGCTCGCACTGGTACGTTTAGTGGATTTACCATAAAGGCTTTAATACGTGTGCACTCCAAATCTAGGTGCGGCTGGCTTAATCGCCTTCTCAAACAAGTGATAGAAACAGGCCGTTAACGTTACTGTAGCTACCTCAAAAACAAGTGGTTGTCTCGAGTCGGATGAAAATGTGTGCGAGTGAGAGAGCTTACAGCTGCGCCCACAAAACACAACATTAGAGGAATGTTATCACGAGATGTGTAAAAATATTTTCAGTTCATTTTGAAACTATGGCGGAGCAAAGTAGACTGTGGCGGGCTGCTGTGGTCTTGTTAATTAATGGGAAACACTGGACACTGCCTGGATCGTCTACAGTCACAGTGTGGGAACCTTTTAATGTTATGTTTGTGTGTGTTCATGCACTCTGTACCTACTTATCAGGGCTTAAAGAGGAAGTAGATCTGCCACGCTGCTCCTAGTGGAGCGATTAGACTGTAGGAGTGAAGTTGCCAGTCTTCCCCTCCCGCACAGGCAATGATTAACACCAGCAGGGTGGAAGGTGAGAAAAGAGAGGGAGGAATCAGTCTGAGCCTTACATCAGATTATTCTTGCTCAGGATGCTTTATTCATTCTTGATGTGTGATTTTTCAGACAAGACAGTTTAATGCCTGCTGTGCGGAAGCTGCACTGTCACAAGCCGCTCTCTGTAGATGCTCAACTTCACCGTGAACCTGAAATATCACACAATAAATCAGAGTCTTATGTTATTTGTGTGTGTTTGCGACCGACCCTTCAGTGACCTTACACACACTCTATGCTGTCCTTGGACTTGTACAGTAGATGTCCTTGAAAGTGTGCGTTCTTTACTCCATGTGTTGGGATTTTATCATCCTGCTGTAAAGCTCTTAAGTGATGAAAAACTGGGTCCATCTTTGAATATGGCAGTAAAGGGAGTAAGAGGTCGTTGTCCTTGCGGGTCACTCCCTGGCAAGTGAAATTGCTTTTACACATCACCCCCTCTTTACTTCCCTTCCCACACACGTAGACGCCTGAGCTCAGACCCCTGTCGCCTGCAGACCTATAAAAGCTAATGTCCACGCCACATCGTTGGGTTGTAAACATCGCCGAGGCTGGCCACCAGGCTTTGGAGCATGCGACAATCAATCCTAACACCGCCATGAAATGATGAGGGACAGATGATCCCATCTACAGGGATAGATGCCCTCGGTCACCCACCGCTGCACTCCTTATCCTGCGTCTCTGGAGCCTGTGTGAACTGAAGAGGTAGAGAGTGATGTGCTTGATACAGTAAGCCAAGTGTTCAAGGTTTTCTTTTTCTTCTGCTTTCCTGTAATTGATGGAGTGCAGTGGTGGACAGTAAGCCTTAACCAAAGGAGTCACGATACATCTACAACCACCATGGCCTGTGATTCATTCTGCTGTAGTTTGTGGCTCTTTTCCTCACTCGTCTGCGGTGTTTCTCGCTCTTGTTTTTGCTATCTCTCGCACACCCACAGTCAGGCTGCACAGATGAATGCACACACAAATGTGACAGACTGCGAGACTGTGACTCACACACAGCAGCGTTTTGTGTGTTCTCTCCTCATCAAGTCTGACGTTCTTCTGAGTTTTTAAGGAGGGAGTGGGAGTGTTGGGAGTGTAACTTTGTCTGAAGTTAACGATGAGTGCTGATGAATTAGTCCGTAATCAAACACAAAATACCAAACATTCCCTGGTTCCAGCTTCTTAGATATGAGGATTTCTGCGTTCTCTGATTGTAAACTGAACATCTTAAAGAGGTGGTATTATGCTTTTTGTCTTTTTCCCTCTCCTTTTCAATAAAGGAGATACCTTTTTTGTGAATGTAACAGGTTTGCAAAGTGAAAAAGCCCAGTCCAGCCCAAAGGGAGTTTCCACAGACTGTTTTTATTTCAAACAATTTAATGAAATAAAACCTTTTTTTGTTGTTGTTATATTTAGAAATAAAAACAGCTCTGTGTCAGTTCTCAATAGAACAGGCCATAAACTTTAGAAATGAATTAATACCCTTTTCTAAAAATTATAAATGATTGTATTATTAGTTGCTTTAACATCAGTCAATACATCAATACAATTTTATGAAAATGTTTGCCCCTTGTCCTACCACGTATCACTAGAGATGCACTGATCTGACTTTCTATGCCGATACCCATACCTCAGCTTTGGACATCTGCTGATACGGAGTGTCACTGCTGCCATGTTTCCAAATGTTTAACCTGAGTACCTCTTCACATGAAACTTATTGGAATTATTATTAACACACAATTTTAAATAATGATGTTTACAAAGAAAAAGTATTCAATGTGGAATTCAAATAAAATACTTGATGTGTTTGTCTTCTCTGCAGGGACATCATGATCACTCATTTTGAGCCGTCCATCTCATTCGAGGGTCTCTACGGGGAGGTGAGGGACATGTGCTCCATGGACAATGACCAACTCTTCACCATGAAGTGGATCGACGAGGAAGGTGTGTCTCTCTTACCCTTACATCTCCATCCTTTACCATTTCTCTCTGTGCTGAAAGAGGACGTATAAGACACCGGGCGGAGATGTTGGAGGTTTAGTTTTTTTCTTTTTGTTGGTATTTTTTACAAAACAAATAAATCAAGTTGTGGGTCCATTTGACATCATAAAGCAGGTTTAACACATTTAGAGGCTACTGGCTAAATTTACCAGCATTTGGCATGTGTTAATGTGCCTTGTCACTTGATTGTAAGACTACTGCACACGCGCGCACACACAAACACACAACACACACACACACACACACACACACACACACACACACACACACACACACACACCACCCCCAATTCCTTGTTGTCAGACAGCTAGTCAGGCAGCAGTGATGGTGTCATATGAAAGATGGAGCCGTCACATTGCTCTGCTCAGAATAAGGTCAGTTTGCCCAAACCAATTAGACTCAGATCAGCTCCCGCTGGTAGCCACCCACATACAACCACTGGGGTAATTAGCCTGTCTGAGAAAGCAAAGCTGCTTGATGGTCTTAATGAAGTACCCTGTTCAGTGGTATCTGTCTGTCCCCCTGCCCCATCCATGGCAACCACATACATACTCAGTGTGAACTTGTGCCATTGCCACGATAATTAGAAAATGTACCTGTAATTAATTCATCAATTTTTAACCCTGGTTTAAAGGTATGTATGTTGTGAAACTTTTTCTATAAAAGGAATTGTGTTTTTTCTCAGTGTGTTTATAAAAAGTTTAGAGATGATTAATTATTATTAGAGCTAAAACAATTAGCCAATTGGTCAGTTGACAGAAATAATTTGAAACGGTTTTGATAATCAGAATCAAAAAAATTTTGTCACCTAGCAAAAAATGCAAAACAGCTTCCCTAGTTCCAGCTTTATCACAGCTGAATATCTTTGGGATTTGTTAATTTCATCAACTGTCCACATTGGGCTTCATGAAGTCATCACAGATATATTTCACACATTTTATAGACAAAAATAATAATTGAGGAAATAATCAACGGGTTAAACACTAATGAAAATATTGTAAGTTGCAGCTCCACTGCAGATATATGGGCTTATCACATGTATCGTATATCAATATTAACATATATGTTTGCCAATATGTAGCAGGAAATTGCAGTACTGAATAGGGATGTTGATTCTCATGTTTGAGCAGTCATGTAATGTCAGATCAACATCCCTATTCTGTACTGCAAGTTCCTGCTCCATATTGGTAAACATAAATGCCAACATTGATATATTTATGATAAGCAAATATCAGTCACAAATAACTGTTTGTTTCAGCTCCACTGCAGAAATGTTGGTCGCAGTATACTCAATTCCACATCAAGTAATAACACAGAAATCTACCGTATTGGCCCAAATATTTGACGATCCTGATTATTAGACAACAAATAAAACACAAAATACTTCTATTAAAGCAGAACTTCAATCCCACAGTTGTGTAGCTCGTCTACATTTCCCTGTCAGGCTTGTGGATACGGTCAAAATGATTTTCTTTTCTTTTCATCTACTTGAGCTCCACATCATCTGTGACAGCAGTAATTCTTGGCTGCTTGACAGGTGGGACCCCGGTCTATTTCTGCAGAAACAGATGACGAGAAACACTTCCAACTTCATTCATCAGAAATTTATTTCCTCTGCGGCAGTAAAGCACATTACCTGAGCTGTCAGAAACTGCTTAAGGTTGAACTAGGGCTGGACAATAAAACAATAACAATAATCACTGCAGTATAATTTTTTTCAATAACAATATAACAAATGTTCAATAAATATTCAATAAATGTTTAACTTTATTGACTTGAATCATACACGAATTAGGACTTATTTTTTTATAAGTTAAGTTTATTTTGTGGAGGAATAATTACTGAAAAAAGCTTTTACTTGATTTTACTTGTGCATATTTGTTGAAAAAGATTTTATTAATAGTTAACAGTTTTGAATGTTCTACCTTAGATTTGTGAAGTGATCCACTGTTTGGCATCAAGTGTTGACCATTAAGAAAAGTTAAGACCACAATTAACCATCAGGTTTCTTCAACTTTTACTCAGGAGCAGAAATCAACCTTTAAACTTGAAAGAAATAATGATTTCATACTTATCGAGATAATTATTGATATCGAAAGATATAAAACTGTTTATCGTGATAAAATTGTTGTCCATATTGTCCAGCCCTAGGTTGAACTGTGCTAAACAGTGTATTCTTCAGAAATAAAATTTCAGTCAGTATATTGTTAACAGGTTTTTAAAACTCTATTTTGATATTGGTAGCAGCCTCAAAAATCCTGTATTTGTCGGGCTATAATCCAAAACACCACCTGAAAGATGGGTGTTGATGAGACGTATGTGCTCCCTTACCCCAAACCAAACCACACCAGGAAAAGGTTTTTGAAAACAAATCATGTTGGCTGGGAGGGGAGAGTGCATAACTCCATGTTGTACAAAAGCTTACAGAACTTACTGACATGAGGACAATTAGATTGGTGGGTGATTCATCCTTTTTTAATGTACTGGACTTCTGTTCCTGTTTTTTATTTTTTGCTATAACCTACATGGAGGTGGATGCAGTCACAAACTGAATGACACTTAAGTGAAACCGAAACCTTTCAAACAAAACCAGACTTGATGGTTATCGCAGGCCACTCACTGCATCACTATGTGATCCTCCAATACTTTTTATCATTTTTAAATATACACTGTGTGTCATAGTTTCTGTTCTTGAGCTATTTATAAAATCACCGGTTGGTAGTTGTGATTAGTTAGGTAGAGCACTAAGAATAGATTCGATGACCTCACAGTCAGCTCACACTGCCTCTCCAAGTGAGTCACACCTACACCTGACTCTTCCTTTTAATGACAAGGAAATAATCAAGTTTGCATCTGAGTAGTATTTTAAATATTAACTTGGATTGAACACTGAACAAATAGGGCTGTACAGTTACAAGGAAACTATTTGAAATGGCAATCTCGACTGACGCACTCTCCTACTTTCTCACTCACGCCCTCGCACTTTTTAAAGAATGTTTACTTAAAGTTCACGTACTGCAATTCATATCACATCTGCAATAGTTAGACATGTTATTTTTCAAATGTCATGTTGATTTATTGTATAACCTTTTACACTCACAACCTTTCTTGTTATCGTCTTGTTTTCTGTGCATTTAAAAATAAGCTGACCATTGTTTATTTTCTGCAATTACCTAGGCATGTGTAGGATCCAACAAACCATAAAACCATGTATACGCACACTCGCAGGCAATAGTCCCATTATAACCCGGAAATGTGCTCATGTAGATCTTCCAGTCAGTAACAACTCGGGATGCAACGGTTACAGATTTTGTTGGTACGATTATAGTCTGAGGAATAATCACAGTTTCACGATTATCATGATTATTATTCATTAATTAATTTCACATAACTAGTAATTTCTTAAGTTGATTTTTAATATTTAATTACGTTAACCATTATATTTCTATAATATGTAAGTATCATTAATATAAGATGAATATTAACTTAATTTATCCCACAGGGGAAATTGTTATTGAGGAGGGTAATAAACTTCAACTGTTACTGTCATCAACTCTCATCCATACATATAAGTTTTAGTGAAAATAGCTACTTTGACTGCAGAATGCGTACGAGCTCACTGTGCGGTGCGCGTTGCTCAATACAGAAACAAACCGGCCTGGTGTGGCGCAAGCCATTGAAAATAATGGGTCTCATAGCTCAGCAGTGATGTCGTAGCGGTGGGTCTGAAAGGTTACATGCTGCGTTTACGTTTCGCTGAAAGCTTGTCTCTCACCGCTACGGCATAGATTGTAAGTGACGTGTTTACATTTAATTCCCTACCAACTCGCCACGTTATCTAATTCATTGATTATATATGACCTTTACTTGGGTGTGCAAAACTGGGTGGTGATCCCGCAGGTGCTGCATCAAGTTTGACGTAGGTATTCGCACCTTTAGCAGCAACATTTTAACGGCAAGTTTTTGAACAGTTAATCAGTCATCTTCAGTAACGCCCTGGTCAGTCTTGGTGTACCCGAAATGCTCCCACACTGCCGACTTCTGCCATTTCTTTGGTGGAAATAAAGCTTCACAGTTTGGTCCCTCTGCCAGAGTTTAGCCAGTGTACAGTAGTAGCCTCCATGTCTCTGGTAAGCACGGCACTTTATGCTGGTGCACTGCTCGTGTAACCTTTTGTTTTTGTGTTGTGCAAGTTGCAACAGTTTCGTTCCCTGCAACAGAAACACTTGGTGTAGCGGAGCCTTGACGATTAATTAACCGTGACGTTTTAAAGCGCAGGTAATGGTGAAATTCGGTTATCGCAGCATCCTTAGTAATAACCAGTTTGAGTTTTCACTGACTGGAAACCCGCTGGAACGGCTTCTGTACTCGGGGAAACGTGGGTGGGTGGGTGGGTGGGTGGGTGGGTGTGGGGCATAGTGTCGGTAAAGGAAGGACACTGAGATCACAGACTGTAAAGCCTGTCTTATCTTTCATTGCACGGCTGTGTAAAGAGTTAAACACAGGCTATGTGCAGGTGGTGAAAATGTGGAGATAGCAGAGTTAGTGTGGCAGCCACCGTGGTGTCTCAGTGTGCTTCATCATCGTAGCCTTTCAGCAGCTGCAGTGCGATTCACAACTGACAAGAGTGTCAGTAATTAGTCCTTCCCTCCTCTACGCACCGGAGGTGGGGAATGTGATGGCGAGACAGTGCTGAGGAAATATTGAGCTAAATATGATTTGAGTTTATATCTTTTATAATCGAAAGGTGCTTATAGAACAGTTGTGGCTCACTATCAGAAGCACAAATAACACTGCTGGTTTAAATCCTTGTCATAAGTGGATCTATAATTTCTGTTTTCACCGTCTGCGACGCCAATTTCTCCTGTCTCTAAATGCACCTGGAAGTCAACTCTGACCCAGAGAAGTGGCGTACGCCTCTTTTCGGTAACCGTTATAAATGAAAGCCCAGATCTCATACTCATACTAATGAGAAACCTGGTTCCCGTAAACAGATTTATAACATGTTCGCATGTGAAACAGGGTTGGAAATTACCGTTTTAAAATGTGAATCTACCAGCCACCGACTATTGGCTCAGTTTCACCAGCCGCTCAATATTAAATCATTATTTTGTGTCTGACATCTACCAGCCATTTTATTGTTTTACCAGCATGTGGCTGGTGCTAATTTCCCACCCTGATGTGAAAGATAAAAACTTGATTACACAAAGAAAAAAGGATGGAAGTTGTTAAATGCGGACAAATTAGAAGATATAATTTGCTATTTGTGTGCACAAATACCTGCACCTATTGAGGAGCAAAAAAGGGGCTTGGGTTGTTCTGTCAAAACTAGATAAAATAAGATAAGAAGGTTGTTTGTTTTTGTTTTGTTTTCAATAAAATGTCACAAAATAGTTAGAATTCAGTCTAAGTTGTTGTATTCAAATAATAATAATAATACATTTTATTTAAGGTGACACAAATAATTAAAACACAACACAGTCTGACTAAAACTGAAAAAGGTAAAGTCAGTTTCCATGGCTGAACAGTGGGTTATATGTAAAAACAATTCTGACTCGCACAGCTGACTGTCCTCTCACTCTGCTGTGTGTCGTGTCTCAAGATGTCTTTGGATCCACAGTAAATAATTACATTTCTCCTCTACAATATACAAGTAAATGTATGTTTAACAGGATCACTGTTAGTGCAGAGGATGTGAAAACATTCTTCACTTGATGTGTATTTTAATTTGGTGAATGACCTCTGGTGTCTCCTCCGCTGTAAGGTGACCCCTGCACCGTGTCGTCGCAGCTGGAGTTGGAGGAAGCTCTGCGTCTCTACGAGCTCAACAAAGACTCGGAGCTCATTATCCACGGTGAGCCTCGCTGCTTCTCACACAAGCACTGTTTATAACATAACACGCGCAGTTTCAGGATTTAACTCACAGGATGATGGTGGTTCACACCAGGTGCTAGTGTTTGGTTAGAGCTCCAGATGAAACGCCTGTTATCTTTGACTTTCTGCTGTACTGCTCACTTCTCTGTTGAGCTTTCTATGACCTGTCAAGTGGGCAGCATTACTGTATTTTCTATTTCTGGTCACTGAGCTACAGTATACCCGACATCGGGCGCAGGATCACAACTGACAAGCAGTTCCAACACAGATAATCCAAGCAGTTTTGACAAGAACAAAACATGACTGTTTAGTAGTTAACTGCCTGCCAGTACAAGTAATTAGTCTCTACTGCTAATTTTAGAAGTAATCAGGGAAAATGTTGTAATTCAAAACATTGTGCAAAGTCAAATACAATAACTTTTTCACTTAGTGAAATTTCTTTATATTTCCTTGGGCATGGTGAACTTAAAATATTTTTTTCTTTGTGTTTAGATTTTGTACTATTGGGAGTAATGGCAGGCTCCAGACTCCAAACGGTTCTTAACTTCAAACACATGGTCTTAAATATAAACAATAGGCATAACAATTAAGCAATGGGTACCTGGGGCCTGTACCACAAACTTAGTCTGCCTCTCTTTGGGTTACCTGTCTTCACTGAGGCGGACACTGGTGATCCAGGAGAACTGGTATAAGGAAACTGGTACGAGATGAAGCCGTTCAACAAGATGAAATGTATCTAAACGTGATCACATAATTAGAATAGAAGTAGAAGCTGTAGAAATAATTTCCTGTTAACAAAGATAAGGCTATAGATATGAGTGGTAATTATTATATACGTCTTATAGATATATATAGAGTGAGTAATTTTTGCTTTTTTGTCAGATGATGATGAGTATGTGATGCATATTAAAAAGTAAAAATAAATGTAACAGTGTTTCTGCTGCCAAAGCAGAAGAAGAGTAGCGAGTTCCTTGACCGGGTTTACCTGACTGACATGTTGCATTTATAATCATGGGAGCTAATTACTCAAACTATTTCAAATTAGCATCACATCACATCATGTCATGCTGAGCAGCAGTAATGAAAGAAGCGGTAATGAAAGCCTCGACACTGTCAGGAATACCTGTGCAATTAAAAAGCAGCCAATATATAATTGTCACTATATATTCAGTGTTGTAAATTATCCCTCTGTTTGCCGAAAGTGCTGTTTTAAAAACAGAGTGTAAATAGAAAGCCTGCAAAATTATTCTCCGGATCTATCAAAATATCTCTTTCTTTATTGTCAATTTATTGTCAACTGTTTTTTCCCACTGATCTGATTGGTTCCGTCACCAGTCTAAAAATATTCTCGCTTTAATGATGAGTTTAATTTGCTTGCTAGATACTGTACACAACAAAGAAGCATCAGGACACAAGATTCGTGCCGCACTGACCTTTGAAAACAAACATTGCTACCACTGTTGACGTCTGTCTATGGGCCCTTGAGCTAGTTCACATCCACATCTAAGCTTAGCATTCTTGACAAGTAGTTGTACAACTTAATGAATCTAGTGGTCAGGGCTAAGTCAGACGGGGGCACGGGGTGGGATGTATATGTGGATATGTGAAATGGAACATTTGATTGACAGGGGGAAGCGGGGACGGGGGATGTGTGGTTAATGTAAAGTTTTAATCAAATCAGAGGTGAGGGGTCAAGAGTACAGTGGATGCCAGAGTGACGGCAGAGGATGAACGGGTAGGGGTGGGGGGAGTGACACTGCCGCAGGGGGTTGCCAGGTCTGCTCGTTAACGAGCTTTCCGGCCGTATCCCACGCCTCGCCTCTGACTCACACTGCCCCCAGTGTAGCTCGATCTGTTGCTCTCTCTCTTTCTCACACGCACGCACACAAATAATCATAGTTGGCTCCTTTGAGATTGTGACTTTTTCCACTTCACTGAAGTTTGCGCGCACACACACACACACACACGCATCATCATAAAAACAACATAAGTGACTTTCATCATGAATTGGTTCAATAAAGTATGTCTTATCGTAATTACTAGAGGCAACAGGTTTGCTACGTGTAGTCTTAACTGCCGTCATGATGAGAGGAATTGAAATGTACTCAGTAGTGTAATGCCATCTCATGAATGACGTCAGACTTTAGATGAAGCAGACTTTCTAAATGTAACTTCTTTTTTGCTTCCCAGTGTTCCCATGTATACCAGAGAAACCTGGCATGCCCTGTCCGGGAGAAGACAGTGAGTTAAAGCTTTTTCCTTCTTTAGTTTTGCATAATTTGTCATTTCTTTGTCCTAAAGAAACCTATAATGAATTTACATTTTAAATCTGAGGCACAAAATGGCAATTGGTTCAGACATATTGACTCATAAGTAGGGATGCAGCGATTACCGGATTTCACTATTAACTGAGCTTAATTACGGTTAATTAATCGTAAAGAGTGTTTTTGTTGCACAAAACGAAAACGCCTGCAGTGCACCAGGTTAAAGTGTCGTGCTTATCAGAGGCTACTGCACACTGGCTTAATTCTGGCAGAGGAACCAAATTGTGAAGCTTTGTTTTCCCCAAAGAAACGGCTGAATTTGGCAGTGTGGGAGTGGGTACACAAAGTCTGATCAGGGCGTTACTGAAGATGACGGATCACCTGTTCAAAAACTTTAAAACATTACTCTTGATGGCTAGTGATGGCGCAACGGATAAGACGCATGCCTTTGGTGTGAGAGACTCGGGTTCGATCCCCCACTGTGACCCATCTACCATTGTGTCCCTGAGCAAGACACTTAACCCCTCGTTGCTCGCTTCTTTTCTGAAAGGGCCTTTATGGAAGACAGAACGTAGGCTAGTCCTCACAAGACTTTCAGTCACTGAACATTTAACGTTATGTCATTTTGTCTTCTCTTGCCTGTGCTGAGAAAATGTTGCCAGGTGTAAAACATAACATCGGGAGCTTATAGACTTTCAGGACTACAGGCTACCAATTAACTGCATTTCAGTTAACACTGCACTCAATTTCTTTCTATCATTTTCACTAAAACTTATTTGTATGGATGAGAGTTGATGACGGTAACAGAACAGTTCATTCACCTCCTCTATAACAATTTCCCCTGGAGGATAAAAGTAAATATTCCTCTTATATTAATCATACTTACATATTATAAAAATATAATTGTTAATGTAATTAAATATTAAAAATCAACTTAAGTCATTACCAGTGTTGAAATGAATGAATGCATAATAATTGTGATAATCGTGAAACCGTGATTATTTCTCTGACAGTAATCGCACCAACAAAATCTGTAATCATTGCATCCCTACTCATAAGTCTCATATGGAATCAAGATTTATGAGTTTGTAAAACGATGTTCAGAAATAATTTCAAAGCATGACAAATGGAAGTTTGTGTAGAAAGAATGTGTCTAAATGATATGTGTGCTCAAATTATATCAGTGGTGAAATTGAGAAAACAGATTCAAAGCAGAAAACTGTGTGTGTACTCAAAGTTCCCACACTGTATGTGACAGTGAAATATATTTGGCATTTTAAGATAATCTGCATCTGCTATACATGACTATTCTTTGTTCTTATATCTGCATTATATATCTGCAGTCGGCCGCTCTGCTCTCTTAATTATCGGCATCAGCCATTGAAAAACCCAATATAAAGTGTGATATACTGTATATATCCACAGCCTTTTTTCCCTCTGAGGACAAAAGGGAAAGGTGTGGACCTCCAAATATTTGACACTTTACAGTAAACTGACCGTAGTCTAGCCTTGTGGCAAGATAAAGAAATCATTGCCTAATGTGCGAGAAAAATGGTAGTGCAGATGATAATTGGAGGTTTCCTTAGAGATCAAAGTAGCCTGGTGTTTTACACAAAGGCACACACACACAGGTAAAGAGCAGAATTTAGCCCTCCTCCTCGTCTTTTCACAGAATCAATATATCGGCGAGGAGCCCGGCGCTGGAGGAAGCTTTACTATGCTGGTGGTCACACCTTTCAGGCCAAGCGATTTAACAGGGTGAGACTTGAACAGTTCACCTTCACTCATGTACTTTCTTGGCTTTCAATATTTTTCCCACTATATTTTTAATATTGTGTATTTTGTGTATTTTATTTTATCACAGTTGAATTCTTGTAATGGGGGAAATATCTGCTGTGTTACAAGTAAAACCTAAACACAATGTACATTTCAAAGCTTTGCTACTATATGTGTACTTAAAGAAGAATGACACATCCCCACTGCCTGTCTTTGTATTGACTGATGAAGTGAGCTCGATGGTGGTGACACAGAACGATGGCTCTGGTAGAATTTGATTGTAGACCTTGCAGGGCTACACGTTTCAGAAGCCATCACTGCCTCTGTAGCATCTCCTGGAATATAATGTGTGTGTGTGTGTGTGTGTGTGTGTGTGTTTCTCTCCATCAGCGAGCCCACTGTGCCATCTGTGCAGACCGTATCTGGGGTCTGGGAAGACAAGGCTACAAATGCATCAACTGCAAACTCCTGGTGCACAAGAAGTGCCATAAACTGGTCACGATGGAGTGTGGCAGACCGATGATCCATGTGAGGGCTGCGACGAGTGTCATGCTCATTAGCTTGATACATTACCATCCATGACTCACACATACTTTAAGATTGTATTCTGTTTCTGTGCTCATTATACTTAACGGCCTGTGTTGTTTGCCTAGGATCCAGGGATGCCCGGCCCACCGATTCCATTAGACTCAAGTGAGCAGCCAGGTAACACGCATGCACGCACACACTTTTAAAAGTGTATACAAATAATTGAAAGCTCCATCCTCACACAAAATAAAATAATGATAGTTTCGAAGCACATAACTTAAGAATAAGCACATAAGAGACAAACTCTGTTTATCAAATTATAGGCTTCTTTTAATTTATGCTTTTCTCAAACATCAGTGTGAGTTTTTACTTTTTCCACCCAAGGGGGTTCGAATCTTTTTGATTTCACACTCTCACTTTTGAATCTTGAAGACTTAAATTGATTCATTGCCTGCAGGTTATGGCCACTATTCTTAAAAAAATAAGGTTGCTGATATTTTTCGTTTTTGTTATTGTTAACATATGTCATAAAAAGACCCAAACCAACAGTTCGTTCCCCCGTACTCTCTGATCTTCCCAGCTTGTGTCTGGCTCTAACCCCCAAGCCACTTCTGTTTGGAAGATGTAAATCTTTCAAAACAGATCACAAACACATATTTACAGGGTTTTTTAAAATGCTAAAGCAGAGGCATCCTGGCAGCCTCGTGGTTAAGACGCATACCAAATAACTGCAACGTTCCCGGTTCAATTCTAGCCGGAGACCTGTTTTCAACAAATGTTACTCAAAAAGGATTAAATTATGTTCTTGTTGGACTGTTTCTACCTGCATATTTGGTACAAGGGTGAGTGTATACAGCAGCAGCATGAGGTTTGTGGGATGAACTCAAAATAAATCACAGTGTCCACATTCATCAAAACACAGGAACATGTCACCCTGGGCAACAGTGTGGCTCACTCACGTGTTTTTAATGGTTTTGGACAATGATGGAGCTCTAAGACGCAGAGGAATATAAGATATTCAGGTTCTGGATGCACACTTGTTAGTGGGATCATTCAATTGTTGTTTTCAGTTTTTATCATGGGATTTATTGACATTAATAGAAATATTGAATATCACCAGACAGAATAAATAAACTTAACTCATGTTGGCATTAGTATAGTAGCGGCCACCCAGACTACAAGCTGCATTTTTTGGGTTTATGTATAGCACTAGACTTAAGTCCAGTCAGGTGTTTGATAGGCTGACTGGAATGAGAGAGCTTAGGATCCTTGTTGCTATTGTTAGTGAGGCAGTTGAAACTCTTTCTACTATAGAGGCAGGCCACCTTAGAGGTTGTGGGGTGCTGTTATTGAAACACTGTGATGCAGATACATTTGTTTATTTTAGAAATGTTGAACATGATGGCTTAATTGATCATTGCAGATGTGTTTCTTCTCTGCATTTATGTACAAAATAGTTACATAATGCTTACTCTTTAAAATATTCTTGGTTTGTGTTATTGTTAAACGAGGGTGGATACAGCAGGGTATTTTCTTTTCTAACCAAGCAGAGAGAAATGACTCCAGCACTGCAGGGCTGTGAACAAAGCGTGTGACTGTCTCTCACCTACTTTTTTCCTCCTCCATCTCTCATGTCTCCTATTTTTTTCCCCCCTCTCCTGCCTCCCCCTCTCCTTCTGTCTGTCTGTCACTTTCTCCTCTCTCTCTCAGGCCCTCAGAATAAAGACTCCAGAGAAAGCTTGCCTTACGATGGAGAAGAGAAAGAGGTGAGAGAACGCCCTTGATGTGTGACTCATAGTCTGTCAATCTGTCATGTTATCAAGATGTGTGTATATGTATATTTAGAGAGAGAAGGCAGCACTGTTTGTGCGAGAAAGATCACCTGTAATTGAAAGCAGGGTTTTGTCTGCTTATTTTGCCATCGTGTACATTTGGGTGATCCTTCTTCCACCTGTGCTGTGCATGTGTGATATAGAGAGCATGCAGACGTAGGCACCCTTGCAGCACTGTGGGTATTGATTTCCTTTGTTCGAGCTAATAAAGTAACCTTTTATCACAGCTCTTAACACCAGAGGCTGATTAATGGCCAGTCTGGGGTTGGAGGGAGGTTGTTGGACAGAGCAGGAGACCTAAAGATGGAATGCATCGAGTTGGACACAGATAGACGGCGATAAAAGAGGGCAAGCCAAATGATCTTATCTTCGTTTTCCATGTCTGACTCTGGTGGATAGGGGTCGTCACGTGAAGGGAGGTTAGATGGATAGGTAGTGGAAACGGTTCACTTCAGAACAGATTACAGAAGAGAAGAGAGAGAAAAATAGGCGAGGAAATGATGAAGGTGGTTTACTGAGAAGTAGGACTAATAAAGCGAGCTCTTAATCTAATGGAGGCAGCATGATGGTATTTAATACAGACAAGAAAGTCATTACTAAGATTTACTGTGCTGGTTTAAATGTCATTTACAAATCACCCGGAGGAAATTACCCTTTTGCACAAACCAAATCGCCACCTCCATCAATAGTTCATTGAATACCGACTGAAATGTATCATGACAAATTGTGGTGGAGTTGACTTTATGTTTATCCACATGATGTTGTTTACTGTTTGGATGATCTCTCATGGTTGTCCTCTCGCTCTGTGTGAACCCCCCCCCAGGCGCGGAGCAGTAGAGACACGGGGAAATCGCCTTCCAGTCTGGGCTTGGCTGACTTCGATCTGCTGAGGGTGATCGGCAGAGGCAGCTATGCCAAGGTGCTGTTGGTGCAGCTGAAGAAGACTGAGCGCATCTACGCCATGAAAGTGGTGAAGAAGGAGCTTGTCAATGACGATGAGGTAAACAACGATGATGTATGACATACCATCAAAGTCCAAATGTTGGAATTATGAATCCAATCATAGGTCAGCCTTTGATTGAACTCGGCTGTGGCTCTAGAGGTAGAGTGGGTCGTCCCCTAATCATAAAGTTGGTGGTGTGATCCCTGGCTCCTCCATCGGTGTGTGAATGTTTGTTCCATTCTGATGAGTTGCTGGGACCCACTGCATGACAGCCACTGCCATCAGTGTGTGAATGTGACATATATTATCAAGTGCTTTGAGTGGTCAGAAGACTAGAAAGGCACACAAAAGTACAATCAATTTACATTAAATGCAGGAAAAAAAATCTGTGATTCATTTGGTTCATATTTACTGAATGATTAGGATTAGGATAGGATTAATGAATTATGCACAGCAGTGACAAAATGCGTTGAAAGACTTAACCCCAATAAAAACAGCAGATATTTGTAAGGCCTTAATTATTTTCCTTTTGTTTTCATTACGTGTTATATGGTACGTGGTCTTTTTATCAAAGTTTGTCCCTATTTTTTGTTTAAATATAATTTGATGGCTTAAACATGAGACAATAAAAAAATAAGAGTGAAAGCCCTTTGCTATCAAACCCCATGCCTAGTTATAATGTATTTACCCCATAAAAAGAAGCAATTTCTTTTACCATTTACTAGGAGTGTGACGAGAGTGAAAAATGCCCATCTCAGTTTCCCGAAATGTTCCCATGTGTATTCAAGTGTCGTGTTTTGTCCAATGAATCCAAAGATATTGAATCTACAATGATGATAACCGGTATGAAAGAGAACAGCAGCAAATCCTCGCAGTGGAGAGGCTGGAACCAGAGAGTTGATTGGTATTTTTTCTTTAAAAACAAGTTTTGATAATATTGATCAACTTATCAATTCATTGTCTGATCACTTCAGAGACGTTTCATGTAATCGCACTTATTTGTTGATAGTGAAACGAGTGACTTAGTTTAGTTAGACCGCGATCTTTTCAGAGGTTTATATCTACTTAAAAAGGAAAAATGTACCATATCTGAAAAGCGAAACTGTCCCTTTAAGTCTGTATGCAGTGACAATAACACCTCCATCTATTGAGATGTGGCAGCTAGTTAATAGTGAAGTCATCAGTCTTCTGTCACTGCCATCAGTAATTAATACAATTAGCTCAATCAATGTGAGGTGTTATTTAATAGCACGGTGAACATTTGTCTGAAACACTTTGTGTTAAGTTGACAGGCCTATTTCAAAGCCATCGGTCTTTCTAAGAAGGTGTAGATAAACCATCATGTCATCAAAAATTGATCCCGACGTACACATGTAGCAGCACGGCCAGAGGCACCAGGAGTAGTTAGCCTTGATTAGACACACTTAGCGTGATTGACAAATTGACAAGTGCCTTTAGATCAATGGTGAAGTGTTCTGCTGTCCCTGCCCTGTCAGCGTGAGCGGCTTCCGTGTCCAGACATATTATCATCCTGCCATCGATAGAGACCTGTTTCTACTGGCTCAGCCCTTTTCTCCTGCTGCTGCCCACCGTTCACATGAGCGAGCCGTTATCTGTACAGGATGGTCGATCAAGCACTGTGCTTATTCAGCTTTTCTAAGTTCAAGGGTACCATGTCCGAATGCTCTCTTGATTTACATTTGAGGCATGTTTTTTGTTTGTGTGTTTGTCTTCCAGGACATCGATTGGGTCCAAACAGAAAAGCACGTTTTTGAGCAGGCCTCCAATCATCCCTTCCTCGTTGGCCTCCACTCCTGTTTTCAGACAGAAAGCAGGTGAGAACATACCTCCTCTACGAGTCACACGGTTTCTTCAAAAAGTTATTAGTTAAAAAATAATCCGATTTTTATGGTTTGAAAATGTATCACAATGTCATTTTAAGAGTGTGTATGTGATCGTAGGAAGATCCCCATCATGATTAAAGCCCCTGAAGAACTTGGTTTAGAAATATAAAATTTCCATTAGGGATGCACCGAATGTTCGGCCGCCGAAATTAATCGGCCACATAAAAGACGTAAAAATCCCCGTTTGCAGACGACGTTCTGCTGAATTGTTTCCTAGCACATCTACTCCATCTGTGGCTAACTTCTTAGAAAAGGCTACACGGTCTGACCCGCTTTGAGTGTTTCTGTCACTTGTTTCTGAGAAAACGATTAACCTAGCCGCAACTACATTTGGAGTCCTACCTGAAGAGAGGCTATGAAGTCTTCATATTACGTGATACGAGAACATTATTTTTCAAATTGGGTGGGACTTGATGAGGGGGGTGTATAATAATCATAAATAATAAAATAAATCTCATGTGAAATAACCAAATCTGTTCTAGAGGAGGAGAGGAGTGTGTGTTCATTACTAATCATAAAAAGCTAATTGACAAAATATGTGTTCAGGTCCTTTAAAGGAAGACAGCATTAAATGATGTATTCAAGTTAAGAAATAAACTTTTAACTTTCTAAAACATTTGCCTCGTTTTACAGACTGTTCTTTGTTATTGAATATGTGAACGGTGGCGATCTCATGTTCCACATGCAGAGACAAAGGAAACTCCCAGAAGAACATGCCAGGTAGAGTCGAGCTCTCTGTCGCACCTTTTTGCTCCTGTCTCGTTAAAAGGAATAAGATCTATGTAATTCAGTGTTTTTTTTGTAAGCACATGTGATTGTGAATACGCCTGAATTGTTCTCTCTTTTTCAGATTCTACTCAGCGGAGATCAGCCTGGCGCTCAACTACCTCCACGAGCGGGGAATCATCTACAGAGATCTGAAACTGGACAACGTGCTGCTGGACTCTGAGGGACACATCAAACTTACAGACTACGGCATGTGCAAGGTGTGGTTTTCAGGTTTGCTGTGTGTGAAAGATTTAGGCTCTCATGATACCACAATGCCCCTTGGATAAGAGCACTTGCAAAGTTGCACCAGTGTTGATTTACAGCCCTCTGAGATGATCTCATGACTGATCTTTTTTTGTTTTTGCAGGAGGGCTTGAGACCAGGCGATACAACGAGCACTTTCTGTGGTACCCCCAATTACATCGCCCCCGAAATACTCAGAGGAGAGGATTACGGTGAGAATTACAGAATACAAGCCCTTAAAAGAAATGCTATCCTTTTTGTTGGAATGATACAGTATATGAGGCGTTATGCAGTCTGTGATTCTGTATGATTATTAATGCTACAATAGTGCATCTTTTGAAATTAAAAGATACTACAATAGGAAAATTTGAAAATAAGTAAAGCTAATAATGAGCAATCAAAAATACAAAAACTGTATTTGAAAAAGAAACAAAAGAATCATAGAAGCAATTGTGACATTGTAGTGGTTGATGATGACTAACATACATGAATCAAAGTTTGTCAAATCAAAAGAATCAAAAGTCCATTACAGTCATTAAGATCAAAGTTTGAGTGTAGTCAAGTGAAACACCATTTTCTACATTGTAACTGAGTGGTGTATGTGACATTATTTATAAACACACTAATAGAAAAATAGAAAAAGATCTCCCTGGTAACCAAAAGCAGTATCATAGCGTTAAGTTCTGCTGTTAAAGGATCATTCCAGTGTTTTTCCACAGTAAAACAAGTGTTTTCCTTTGAGGACATTTTGACATGTCACAGTAGGTAAAGCACAGATGTGAATAATAAAAATTAATGGTGGTTTAATTCCATTTAGCTTTTCCTGGTATTGTGCTGGCTCACTGTCAACATCTTACTGGGACGCTTGATTAGAACAAAGCCATCCTTAATGTTATTGGTAACAGCTGTGCTTTTCCTGCAATGACGAGTCAAAATGTCTGCTGTGGAAAAAGGTTCAGGCTGAACAGTGAATTGTTCCAGCATCAATCACTTTATATGCATGTATAAGATTCCTGTTGGACCCACTACAGGACAATCTGTTTTACTGCAATAGAAAATGGAAATATGGAAGATAAACAGTTTAGGTTATCTGATAACACAATAAATAACATAAATCACATAAATAACACAATTAAATAACACATGTGCTATTGGTTTTGCGTGTGTCCTGCCCTCACAGCTAGTGACCAATTAGAATGACTTTAAGACTGCTTTATTTAGTGTACAATAACAAATTAAAAGTTAACAAGCCTCTTATAAGGGATTTTGGCCTTTTTCTGTAAAAGATTGGGAAAATGAAAGAACCCTTGAAATGTTAAACCTTAAACATTTTATCTCTCCTCACTGTTTCTTTTACATTTCATACATTGTGATGCTCCTCTCATTTTTAGGTTTTAGGTTGTGAACATTTGGCTTTCCACTAAAATGTGGAGTGTTTTCTGTTTCTCTGCTCTGCTCTGAGGTCATTAGACAAGTTTTAGTTATTTTTTCCTTAAGTTCCTTGCAATTGTTGAACTGGTATGATGCTTTCACAGTGGAAGTGGTCGCTATAATAACCTTAAATTACTGGCATGTGTTGTACAATTGTAAGCAGTAATTTGAAGTTTATGCAATAATGAGAATTGTACACAGGTACTTGTATACCTTTTGGTTGCTCTGCCAATGAGCTGCATTTCTTTTTGGGTTATTTTAAAATATATCTCCTCTGTCCATGTTGCCTTCATGTCAGAAATATGATTTGTCACATACAATTTACAATCGTCAGGGTTCAGTGTGGATTGGTGGGCGCTGGGTGTGCTGATGTTTGAAATGATGGCGGGCCGGTCGCCCTTTGACATCGTCGGGAGCTCTGACAACCCAGACCAGAACACTGAAGACTACCTCTTCCAAGGTTACACACACACACACACACACACACACACACACACACTGAAGGTTTATAACCGGAGGAGGAAAAACAGCAGAGTGGAAGCATGTAACACCTTTGTATTGACACCTTTCTAATGGCCCCTTCTCCCAGTACCAGGCACATGCCATCTGTTACAGGGAAATGTGTGAATGCGAGTGTGTCGTGTAAATACGGTCAAAATGTGTCAGGGTTTTCTTAGAGCTGCCAGGAAAGTGTAGGACAGATGGGATTTAAAATGTCACCAATTGACAGACAAAGTCATATTTCAAGACACTTTTAAAGCTGCTGACACGTCATTGAAAGGCTGCTGTATGTATGTTCAACACGAGAATACCCGACAGGATAGAAGTGATAACTGCAGGAGTGTCTGTGAATTCCCTTATCATTTTAGACTCATACCCTTTCACCTTTTCCTCTCACCTCCTGCAGTTATATTGGAAAAACAGATCAGAATCCCCCGCTCGTTGTCAGTCAAAGCCGCCAGCGTCCTCAAGGGGTTCCTCAACAAGGTAAGGAGGAGTCAGACAGGCCTGGATCAGCCTTAAACGGTGTTGGCTCGTGCCGGCCCCTGAGAATGACATCTCTCACCTTTCTCGCAAATTCTCTCCTTTCTCCTACTGTCTCTCACCCTCCCTCCCACAGGATGCCAAGGAGCGTCTAGGCTGCCACCCTCAGACGGGCTTTGCAGACATCATGGGCCATCCATTCTTCCGAAATGTCGACTGGGACCATGTGAGTTTATTCACTTCCTGTTTCTGTGTCTCTCCCTCGCTCTTCTACTTTTCATGCCTCGTTCATCGCCTTAATTGCAATTTTCATCATCATCTCAAATGAAAGAAATCAGTTCATGCCGGTTTCCAAATAGGTCAGCATCAATCTGTATATTGATCCTGCAGAGAAGGAAAAACAGAAAGCTGCTACTAGACAGCAGAAGGTCACATCTAAATGATTTGGGGTCACATTCTTCAGACGAGCAGTTAGAAGACCTGGACAGACCAAGATGGAAAAGAAATGAGTAGAAGTGTTGAAATATGGATGTGCATTTCATTTTCATTTGTCTCAGCCATTTAAGCCATCAGTTTGACTTATTTTTGATTTGTTAATGGCTTCCTAATGACAATGAATATCATAAGGAAGCCGTTAAAAAGTCAAATTTCAGCTTAATTCATTGGCTTCCTCATGAAATACTGAACTACACTAAGCTTCAGTTAAATTCCAGTTATTTCAGTGATTAATATTGGATACGTTTGAGTACTTTCTTGCCTTTTGCTGTGAAAGGTGTTTTTGTTGATCTGTAATCCATTTAGAGTGTTTATACTTTAAGACTGAGTGTGGTCATGAATGTGAAGGCTGCTGTTGAAAATGAACAGGGGCTTGTATATACAGCAGTTAGTCTGCACCAATTACAAAAAAAAAAAAAACTTTCAAGGTAAATGAGGCTGAATTGACAATATTAAAAGGAAAGTTTGGGTATTTTGAAGTGTGGTTGTATGAGGGAGTCGGTGTATTACAGTGCTCCCCCAGTTTGGAGAAGCAGACAGGGTTACCAGCAGGAAAGCAGAGCAATGCACTGCTGTAAATGGGGGCAGCAGAAAAACTTATTTAGCTACATAAAGAGTCTCACCTAAAAAAGAAATCTATCAGTTGCAAGCTATCAAGTACACGCTATATTAAGAATATTTCCACCGCTTTGCCTCACTGTCAGAAGGGCCTTTTTTTGGTACTAACCGTAGAACTCGCACATTCCTATACAGAAGTCCCGCTGCGTTTGGGTTTGGGTCAGAAAGATCGAACTGAAATCAAACTTGACGTTTCTAAAGTTTTATCTGTCTATCCCTTTAAGCATCGCAGAACATTTATGGAAAGCCCACTGATAGTTAAACAAGGACTATAAATACTCAGTTTCAGCGATGAGTTAAGTTGTAATTTAATAGTGAATGACATTCTGGTTTAATAACGACTACAGCTGTAAAATGAAACTAATGTCGTATAGTTTTTCTCAGTAGCTGTGGTGTGCTGTCGACACATTCAGAGCCTGATGTAGACATAATTTTATGTGTAGGGTTGCAACAAACAATTATTTTGTTTATTGATTATTCTGTTGATTATTTTTTCAAGTGCAAGTTGCCAGAGTTAAGGTAATGTCCAAAACACAAAAATAGTCAATTTACAGTTATATAAAACACAGAAAAGCAAGAAAACCCACACATTTGAGAAGCTGGAACCAGCAAATGTTTGACATTTGTGCTTGAAAAATAACAACAATGAATCCCTTTATCGACACCAGATACATTTAATGCATTGCATATTGCGTTAGAAGAGAGTAATTTATAAACATGAATTTTATAGTATAATAAAGAGAAGTGTGTTTTTAAAAAAAAAAAAAAAAAAAGTGTACCTGTGAAAGTGTGCACACGTGTAAATGAACAGGCACGTTTAATCTCCTCGGACAGACAGACATGCATGCACTGCTGGATGACGTGACAGACAGACAGGGCAGCTCGCCACCATGACCTCTCTTTCCCTGTTTGGTCTGGAGAAGGGACCCAACAGTCGGTCAGAGTGTCTGAAGGGATCAGCTTACACGCACGCCCCCCCCCCCCGAACACGTGCACACACTTATCTGAAAAGTTTGCTGCAATGCACCACTTGGCCTGCAGGGGGAGTAGTTGTTGGCTTGCAGATAGAGAAACAAATGAGAGCCAGACTACACTGTGATAAATGTAATCAGAGGCACTGAGTAGAAGAACAAGTGCGTCATAGGTTTTAGTCACTGTTTTAAATGGGTCAAGCTTTTTTTTATTTTTGAAGGAGGTGCTGCTGGTCACTCAGCTGTAGTATTTATTTATGGAAACAGGCCAGGAATCTATGGTGGGATGGACAAAGAAAGATTTTACCATCTTTATGCTCGTGTCCAGTGCTTTTAACAAAAAAGACAGGCACAGCTTCCAGGCCAGATTACAGTTTGTATATCTCTCAAGTACTGCAACTACTCCCGTGATTGATTCATCTGCCAATTATTTTCACAATTAATCCATTTATCATCTAGAAATTGTCCAAAAAAAGGGTGAGGGTGATGTGCAGTTTCCCCAAGACCCACAGTGATTGCTTGTTTTGTCCAAACAGTCCAAAATGAAAAGATATTTCAGTGACTATAATATATGACAAGGAAAAGCAGCAAATCACCACATTTGAGAAGCTGTAACCAGAAAATTTTTCACATTTTTGCTTTAAAAAATGAATGAAATGATGAATTTTTTTTTTTTAATTCTTGCAGATTAATTGTCTTATTGTGGACTGAGCAATTATTCGAATACTCATTGCAGGTCAATATTAGTCTTAAGTTTAAATACTCAGGCAGTGCTCACGTATTTTTAATTTCCATAAAGACGTAAAGGCAGTTGTTTCCCCACCTGATTCCTGTTCTGTTATTTCAGCTGGAGCAGAAGCAGGTGGTCCCTCCTTTCAAACCCAACATCTCAGGGGAGTTCGGACTGGACAACTTTGACGCCCAGTTCACCAACGAGCCCATCCAGCTCACGCCTGATGATGAGTGAGTCCCTATTTTATTATCTCTTTTTCATCTTTATGATAATCAATATAACAAGTACTTTTCTAATAAATTGGTGCCACTTAATAATAATAATAAAACCTTTTCTTTTTGTTCATTGTAGTGATGTGGTCAAGAAGATCGACCAGTCTGAGTTTGAAGGGTTTGAGTACATCAACCCACTCCTGATGTCGGCAGAGGAGTGTGTGTGAGGGACACGACGTCTGTGCTCTCACACACCACCCACACACACACACACACACACACACTCATGCACGCGTTATGTGGCGTGTCAGTGTCTTCAGGCTGCATGGTTACGAGACAACCTGACGACATCAACCTTCTGTTCGAGGGCTGCACATGCACAGTAGAACGCTTATTTGCCAAAACCAGTCTCACACTCAGCCATTTATAACCACTTGCCCTTAAGCCTACCTTCTTTCTTAATTATTTTTATATCATGTAAATCTGCACTGATATCAGTTTTCTCATCGGGGCGTCTTTATCGGTAGCCAGCGAGGCTACAAAGTTCTTCCAAGGTTGCTGTATACAGGGGTCGGCAGGGGGGTCACGGCCCCTGACAGATGAACTGAACATCCCCTCCTTCCAGCTGGTGGGTTGTTTTTAATGCATATATATATATATATATATATATATATATGAATCTACTGTTGAGGATACATGTTAGACAAGGCCTTTTTAGCTTAAAGCCACAGTCGGACATTAACTGACAACTTAATCATTATAAAAAGTCATTTCGAATTTGGCTTTGTGGAAACACCCCTTCTGTAGAGGAGAACGAGAATCATAACACTAGCCTTTTAAAGAAAAGATTAAAAAAAAGAAAAAAATCTATATACTTTTCTCACTTTTTAATTTAACATGTCAGTCATTATATATGTTGGTCTGAGTGATAAATGTCCTGCCTGAATAACAGAACCAAAAAAGGGTTCAGGCTTTGTGGCTTAGATAAATGCACAACATCTGGAAAACACAAGGTGTCTGCTTCAAGTAGTTTCTCCCAGACGAAGGAACGTACACAGTCGCATCCAACCAACACTAATAATGAGTTAAAACTCTCAAACTGTGAATGAAAGAGCTTGCTATGCAGGGAAATGGGCTGGAAGAGGAGCACATAATACCTGAATGCTGGAGCACAGATGAACGTTTTGCTGTGCAGACCATGAAATATACATTCACACAGGACCAAAACAAATGTCTTTCTGAAATGTCTTGCTGGTACGTATTAGAAGGTACAGGATACATAAGGAAGATGCACTGTCCTAAGTCATAGAATTTATATATTCAGAATTTTTTTTGCTTATTTTTAATACTACGCCTTTCTGAAACATATGGTCTGTTATCTTTTTTGTTGTTTTTTGTACTTTCTCCATTCCATGTATGTCTTTCGTTATAAATCAAAACTAAGTAATTGTTGAAAGGAGAGCTTGGTTAGAAGTCCAAAGCTGTGACACAGTGCAGTTTTAAAATGTGGCTTTAAAACTGTAAACTCTGCCGTGCTCCATTTTTACCATGTCGATATCACAGGTCATTTTCTGAATTAGGTATTTTGTAAAGGTGCTTTAAAGCATATGAAAGCTCTGGAGAGCCGCTCTCTTCCCCCTGACTGTAACGACACTAAGTGATGGTGCATGAACCTCCAGATTCTCGTCCAATTAAAGCTTCTCTCTACTTGGAAAATGTTTTGGGCTCACGAAGTGCCCGGAGGAACACATTCATCTGTTACACATGTTACTTTTTGCTTTATTGTTACTTTTTTGTGAATCAGATTTTATTTTGAATTTTTTTATCACTACATCAATTCCAAAATGTTACTGGGTAAACCCAATGGAAACACTATTTGTTGTACTTGTGCTTTGGGGGTGTTTACCACCCAGAGGTCTCTGCTGACATTTATTATTAGTGTGCAAAGAAAAAACACAGATGGTAAAATAAACCTTTTATTTCTCTCCTTGTGGTAATATGTGCGTGTGTCAGTGTGAGTCTGTCATTCATATAAAGCAACCCTCCCATTTTTCACACGTCACTTTACTCATGAGGAGAATATTAGACAGAAAATCTGCGGTATTAATGTGGGAAAGATTTGATATTGCTATTCAGTTGCATTATGGGAAATGTAGGATCCAGTGTTTTTGGAGCTTGACCCATATTAGCAACTAACAGAAGATAGCGGACTTCCTGCTGCTCCAATTTGGACCCTATTTTAATCTGTGTCTCGTTAGTGCTACAACATTATAACATGAAGTGCTAAAGTGCTAGATTGCCTGTTTAAATAAAAAAAATGGTTTTCATATCCTGCAGGTGTAGAATTTACTCACGTTACATATATTCAGTTTCTGATTTTCCTCTCAATATAAAGAACAAATACTTTTTATAGTGAGTAAATGGTTATTTTCCATTGATTGTAGGCAGACACTGAGAACGAAAACTGTTTTTGGAAAGTACATGAAGGAAATCAAACCTGATACCTTTGAGTGGAAACTTCCTGGTAGAGCTCCTGTTTAGTGATTTCCTGTTTGCCAAAGAAAGGGGTGCTATGTTTTGTCATGTTAATTTATGTATTAAAAATCTCATCTTTCTAAGTGTGCTAACAAAACAACAAAACCTTGCAATGTGCGGTGACACTAGTGAACTGGGAACAATGGAGTTGCTTTACAGACTCATTCAGAGTCTCATTAAAAAAGTCTGAGCGTCTACAGCCATGCTAGCAGCTCTGAAGACGTACAGTGGTCTATTGAGCTAGAGCTAATGGTAGCATGCTGACAGTGCTAACTTGCTAATGTTAAGCAGGTAATTTTCAGTGAGAAGTCAGAGCATTGCCAAAATCATTAGGACTCTGGGCACCATGAATCGCTGTATAAAATGTCATGACAATGCGTCAACACACTCAGTAGGCTTCATCCTGTGGGCAACATGAATCTGCACAGGTTTCATCCTGTAGCTGTTGAGATATTTTAGCAATCCTACTGAAGAGTGGATTTTTTTTGGCTTAAAAGTGGTGCACTGCTGAGATCATGCAAACACATGCCTGCCTGAACAAACTCATACCATCAGGCTTGTGATCACTTTACTGCCGAGACCAGACCTGAGCTCTCAGACCACATGGGCGTCTGGAGAAGGAAGGGCATTATGCTTGAGTCGTTAAGCTTCAGCTTTTCAACTCCAGCTGCTTGTGTCTCCGCTGGTCACGTGACTCCTGGCTGGTTTGTAGAAGGCCCTTGGAGTCCCCAGAGGTTAAAAGGTCATTGACACCATTGCTCTGGCCTCACACAGTGCTGAGCGTTGAGAGGTAAAAAAAAAAAAGATGACTTGTCAAAAATAATAAAATGGATTGATTTGTGTGCTGCAATAACTCGCACATTGGCGGATAGAAACCCATCATGTCAGGCTTATTTCACATCCTGCACCGCTAAACAATTGTATATTGTCTCTTTGGAGCCAGATTTTGTGGAAAATGACTCCCCTTGTACAACTACAGGACATGCTCAGGATGAGGATGAATGTCTTTGCGTAATTCTGTATTCCCATGATGGTGTGTTTGACATTGTTCCTGTGCCCTCACCTGTGAGGCCGGGGGTACGCCTCCCCAGGCACTGTGGCACCATGTCACCTTGTGGAAGACAGGGAAGACTAACCTTGTATAATTGATGATGTAAAACGGAGGGAAAACATCCTGTTTTAATTGCTATTATCTTGTTGGGTGCTTTATTCGGTCCCTGAAGGGATTAATTAAACGGCATAAGAATCATACTTGGTGCTAAATGCAATCCCTTAGTAAAACACGCACTGCAATTTAAGGTGCGTAGTGCTGACACCGCATGCTCTCACACTACATTTACAGGTGCTCTTGACAATACTAGAGATAATGAGTTGATTTCCATCATCTATAATGTCTGTACCTCCCTCCTTGTCAGGTAGCCTCAAGTTGGTGTGTGCTACTTCAGATGCCTACATAGCCTACTGGATATAAATGAATGGGGCTTACAAGTAGAAAAAAGGAGTAACAACTGCTGTAATAAACCACATTGATTATAACAGGAGAGAAACAATTGCTCGAGCGTGTGACATAAACCAGCGGGATTTATAGGCGAAAGACCTCACTTCAGGAGCTAGAAACGAGAATAAAAAGCTACATGCGCCATTAATTCTACACAAAATAAAAAACTTCAAGAGGGAGGACCTTGAATTAGTGATGCAATCATAGTTATAAAGATGGTTACGTTATGTTGAATGTCAAGGTTTTGGAAATCCCCTTTAATGTATGTATCTGACACATTTCTGTTTTTTCAGTTTGGTTTCAACTGCTGTTGTTTTTTAGTTTCTGACACAGTTTGCCCTTTTGGCATGTGCTGTGTGTTTTTGCAAGACTACTGGTATTAAGGAAGAAGAATTAATTTATTAATCCAATAAATTAAATGTTTTCACTCCATTGTTATTTGTTACGCACACACATAGACCCGAAATACACCCCTGAATATACAATCAGTTCCAACTGTTTTGGAGATGTGACTCAACTTTTAGTCCTTTTGGAGGCTGCAGCTTGTGGTGCTGTTGAATTGTAGTGTGTTATACAGAGAGCTGTTTCTATCATTGTGTCCAGCACATGTATATAAATAAGGGTAGAGCATGTGATAGAAGCACCTGTCAGTATGACGTAATGCCATTCAACAGCACCACAAACTACATCCTACAAAATGATCATGCGGTTAGCATCAGCTCCACCTCAACCAACCAGAAGAATAAAATACTGCTTAAACAATAATGAGTAATAATAATCTAATGCTTTACTAACAAAAGTACATATTGTATAATGAATATCATTAGATGTACAATATACACTCACAGGGGCCATTTGCATGCATTGAGTTTTACTACTTTTGATATTTTAAGAAATATTTTCTTGATAATACTTTGACTTTAGCAGCATCTTTACCTGTAATGGAGTATTTTTACACTGCGGTTTCAATACTTTTGCTTAAGTAAATGATCTGAATGCTTCCACCACCACTGCTGTGATTGCATCAGAAATTACATCCATTATTTTGTCTACCACCCGTTTACGCACATTTGAATTACAAGGGCCAAATGATGATAACCCCTTTAATCAGAGAGCGTGTCTCGGCTAACGGAGGGAGTTATCAACGTAATAGTATAACACACTGTCTGTGAATCCTAGCTCCTCCGCCGCTGTCCACATGCGACCTCATCCTTCAACTTGTTCGCTTTACTCCTAATGAACAATCAGTGCTGGTCGCAATATTGCAGATATGAGATTAATTTACTCCCCGCAGTACACAGAGTGATGTTATTACAGGAAAATCAATGTCTCTTGTTGTTCTCTGGGGCTGGACAGGGTGTACGCACATCTGCTCTCATAATACAAATGCTGACCTTGCTGTCAGAGACTGAGCCAGAGAGAGAGAGAGGGAGGGGCTGCGGCGAAACGGCGGACGGCGTTGTTTATCGGAGGTTTATCAAGCCTCTTTGCTCTCACGGACGTGTGACATCAGAATGTGGGTCAGTCAGCCAGCCAGGGTTTACACCAGCTGAGAGAAAAAACCCAGCGCATGTAGACACAGCACGATAACCTTTATAGATAAAGATTTCAGCGAAGAACGGGTGTTATAGATAAGAGTATGTTCAGACTCAAGAGTAAAAGGTTGCTTAGGGAATTCAACCCCTCCTTCAAGTGAAAATATTTGATCTATAATTCATAAAATCTCATTCCTGACCTCCTCATGCTCAGTTTTTATTAACTTCCATCATCACTAAAGGCACAATAGACTGCCTGAATGACCTCTTGACCTTTTCACAGAGGACAGGTCCATAATAAGAGGGGGAGGGGAGGTGCAGGAGAGGACTATTTTGCCCACTGAGTTTGTCCTCTCTCATCCTCTCATTTGTTTCATAAATGTAATGGAAAGCCAAAGAGAGAGATGAAGCTACCGTCATGTCATGAAGTTTGAAGGTACAACGTGTGAGATTTGGCCAGAATTTTAGTTTAAAACATTACTAAATAAATGTGAAGAAGTAACAGTTCTGACGTCATGTCGAAAACGTCTATTTCTCTGTCCCTCTCACGGCTGCTCCCTGAAATTTCAAATATCAAAATCTGCCCATCCATTATAATTATTAGAAAGATTATAATTGCTGTTTGTTATCATGTTTTTTTTGTTGTTTTCATGTTTGAACTGATGTACTTATTCCACACATTTGTCACCTTTGTCAGAGAGGAGCAGACACACACAGGCAGGAGAGGAGCCCCTCTCCACAGATCCTCACGCAAGGCAACAGCCATTAACTTCATTGTTGCAGAAGAAGCAACGCCCCCTAATCCAGGAACACATAAAAAAAACTTCATTTATGAGATCATTATAAGGATTAGCTCTACATGTGATTAGAAAAGAGCAGAGGAGCAGAATCGTTTCTTGACCGGCACAAAGAAATGTGCTTCTGGTGTGGACAGCCAGCCTGGTGAAGGGGGTGGGAAGAGGTTAAATACTGCCCCCTATTTGTTTAGTGCATGTAGCCAGAAATTACACATTGCACCTTTAAAGTTGCACAGAATGGAAATACTCAAGTGAAGTAGAAGTATCTCAAAATTGTATATTAAATCTTATGTACTTGACATTCCACCACTGAGGCCATGTCAATAAAACTGACCTACAACATGAATCAAGCATGGAACATGAATTTCAAATAAATGTCCTCATTAAACTAAACTGAAATAAAAACACACGTGCTGTAAAGGGCTACAATAGAGAGGACATAATGCTGGCCCCTTTTAGGGACCTCTAAAAGTGCCCGGACCCCAGCTTTGGCAACCACTAACTGCCTGCTGTTGACATCTATCTGCAACTCTCTGCTCGCAGCTTACTGCTGGAGGAAACAAATCTCTCGAAAGATGTGCGAGACAGACCGACAGACAGACAGACAGACAGGCAGACAGACAGACAGACAGGCAGACAGGCAGACAGACAGACCACCCCCGCATAGTTTCCGTCAGCCGGGTGACGTTACGGGGCTGTAGTGGAACCTCGAGCTACATCTTGTTGACGGTCCGCCAGGCTTTTCCAGTGCTGAGGAGACCACAGGAGAGTGAGGACGACCGACACGCAGCGTTCAGGCAAGTGTTTACACGATTAAAAATAAGATGAGGCTTTTTAAATTGACATGTTTAGATACAGATGTAGATATTGACTGCGGGGTGCCTGTTTTGTTGATAACGGATCCCGGCGGGTGACTATTAATGGTCGGCTTTGAATTCCTGTGTTGAGACGGGAGAGTGGGGGGCGAAGCTAACCTGGTTTTAGCCTGCTGTATCGCTGTCTATCTGGGGGTTAGCCTGCTGTGATGTTAGCGCTTTCGGTCCTCTCGGTTAGCCAGCCTGGTCGCTTTAATTCTGGGCTAGCCTGCTTTCATATTTAACTGTGTTAACGTTATGCTTCTCCGTCGCAGCGGACACTGCTGTTTTATCCATCTCTGTTTGGTGGGTGAGCCGAGGCAAGTTAGTCTGTGTTATTATCGCTTTCATTCCTGGTTTCGAGTCGGGTTAGGTTAGCCTGCTGCATAGACTGTGCCGGGGTATGTTGGGGGCATAACGTTAGCTAACATTAAGCTAGCTAGCTAGCTAGTAGTATTGCACGTTACCCGTTCAAAGACAAGATAGATATTTTTCTCAGTTGATTTCCCGGCGAATGCGCATTTTCTTGTGTGCGCTTTCACTTCACGTTTGTGGACATGGTGTCAAGAAGTCATTATTTATATTTTAAAGTAACGTCTCACTTACATGCGTAATATTTAATGCCTTGTTTCTAGAGATTTGACCTTTGGGTAACATAAGTTACATCGGACCGGCACTGTATTTGAAATACGGACAGGCCGCGATTGAAAGCCCCACCAAGTCTGCTCGACCGCGGTGCCTTCCCAGACCAGACTGTAGACAGTGAATGTCATTATCAGCGCTGTCTGCATACCAGTGCCGTCGTGGCGAGCCAGCAGAGACGGCGAGGTACAGTTTGCAGACTGGAGAGGAGGGGGGGGCAGCAGGGGATGGAGCGGACTAGTATTTTATATATATATATATATTATCGCGTTGTCCTTGCAGCAGCAAAAAAGATACCAGATCTGGGGGTGATATTAAGTCATATTGCCTTATAGCTATTAATGACTGTGAGGTTGTTTGAGAAACATCACCGCATTTAACGCAATAATGCGGCCGAGGTGATTTCTGTCAGAAATGTACCTCACGTTATCTGGTTGGAGGTGTTAGCAGCAAAACCTTAGTCCCGAGCTGGCTGGGAAAGAGGCTGCCTCCCTGTTAGGGTTTCATTTATTGGTCGCTGATCTATCGATGATTTATTATTTATTTTTTGCGGTGTGTTTTTCTTCTTTCGTCCCACGGTGATATGTGCCATTAAAACGCCCACAAACATCTACCCGCTTCGGAATCGAGCTCGAGGATTGCACCGCCGCGACATTTCTGTCGGTGGAAAAAACGATGGGGTGCAGAAATTTGCAAACCCATTCACTGAGATAAATTAACCCAATCGATGTATATTCTTTTTCGATAAGAGGGTACTCCTCTAGTAGTAGATTTATAAATCAACTACATTTCACGACGGCATCTGAGCGCAAATGAGACTTTGCATTTTCAAGCTGAAGTGCGTCTCTTGGTGTCATACTGCAGCAGTAGCCATTATCAAGTACACTGCGTTTTAAATCGGGGATACCAGCTTAGTGTTTACCTTATTACAGTCGATTTACTAATTCCGCAGTAAAGCTTGAGAGTAAAAAAAAAAGGGGGAAACACCGCTTTCCACACGGCTGTATGTCAAGCTGTGAGCAGACTGAGAGAAAGGGATGACTGCTGTTAACGCTTTTATCAATTGTTTTTCATGGAGTTGATGAGGTCAGCGTGGGGTAAGCAGACCTAGGGGAAGGCACAGTGTGGTTGGGAAGGGCACTTTCATTTGCTAAGTGAAATGTTTTGGACCATTGTATCAGCCTTACATTAACAATGTAATTGGAGAGGGGCAGGGTGGTGGGGGAATTTCGCCTGGGTTGTCATGTCTGGTCAACTGGTTTTGCTTGTTAAAATTCTCACTTTGTGCTGGAAAGTTTGTTTCAAAAGCTTTGGTGAAAACCTCAATGCAAATTTCCCCTGGGGTTCAATTACAAGAGCTGAAAAAGCCTTGTGTTTGTGTGAAGTATGGTAATGGCCATTTGGTTTAGTGGTCCATGCAAACAGTTATTGACCTCTTAAGCCCTCAGCTGGGACAGCGGCCATAAAGCATTTAAACTCCTTATGGATATTTCATGCTCTACAACATTTTTTTATGAGATTTGTTTATTCCTCCACAGGAATGGAATTGATTAGCTATTGTTTAGATTGTGGATGACGTCTTCTGTTTTCTAAATTCCTTCCTTTTTTTTCATGTGCAGGAAGCGGACCAGACCTTAGACCACATTCGTCACCATCATGCATGTGTTCACCAACCAGAAGATTTGTGTAATTTGAAAAGACTTGAGGAGAGAAAAGACTCGGAGGAATACAAGAACTCAGTCAGCAGACAGAAACGATAGTAACACAGTGCTTAGACATGGCCAGCACCCAGACCAGTTTGAAAACCCCTTTCAAAGACTTGACGTCATTCAAAGGCAGCATGAAACGGCTGTACAGAGAGCGACTGGAAGACGCGCCCATCAAGAAGCGAGTAATGGCGGAGATCAACCTGAAGCGTCGCAGCTTGGATTCCTTCCCCAAAACTCCCAAGGTGAAGAGGGAGCAGATCGATGATCTGTGCCACGACTCTGACATGGATGTGGAGGGCCGGGCTGAGCTGCATGTGGTGGGCTCTGCTAAAGCCCTCGACCTGAGCCCTGGGCTCAAACACACACTGGCCCAGTTCACCCTCAGCAGCCAGAGCTCCCTCGGGGGCCCGGCTGCCTTCTCAGCCCGCACCGGCCACGAGCATTCCCCTGCCGGAATGCCCCCCCTGCCCTCCCCTCCTGTTCTGGGAGGAGGCCCTCTGCTGGTTCCCTGTGACAGCTCCACCGAACTCACCCACTCACTGCTGGAAGGCGAGTCTATCTCCTGCTTTGTCGTTGGGGGAGAGAAACGGCTTTGTCTGCCCCAGGTGCTCAACTCTGTGCTCCGTGACTTCTCACTGCAACAGATCAACACTGTGTGCGACGAGCTCTACGTCTACTGCTCACGTTGTGACGCTGAGCAGCTGCACATCCTTAAGGTGTTAGGCATTCTGCCGTTCAATGCACCTTCCTGTGGCCTCATTACGTTGACGGATGCACAACGGTTGTGCAATGCACTGCTGCGTCCTGGGGCGGCCTTGCCTGCTGACCCCAGCAGTAAGCTATCAACCCAGGGCCTGCTGAAAGAGAGCGAAGCCAGCTTCCAGGTGGAGCACCAGTGTCTGGGGAAGTGTCAGGGTCTCTTTGTGCCCCAGTTCTACAGCCAGCCGGAGGCACCCTGCATCCAGTGCGTTGAATGCCAGTTGCTCTTTTCACCTCAGAAGTTTGTCATGCATTCACACAAGTCACCTGATAAGAGGACCTGCCACTGGGGCTTTGACTCGGCAAAGTGGCCCTGCTACCTGCAGCTTTCCAGGAAGTACCAAGGCACACCTGAGGAACCAAAGCTCAAGCAGCTCCTGAATGAGGTCAAAGAGAAGTTCCACTACAAGCTCAAGAGGTCGCTAGACAAAGTAAGTGCACTTCTGAATGATACTTGTTTGTGTGGAATATCATAATCAATTACTATGTTCAATAATGTTGATTGTGCTTTTAACATCCCGTAAACTGGATGGCTTGTCAGCCCTTCCTATCTATAATTGCCCAGTCCCATATTCTGTGTTGTCATCAGCTTTGACCAAACTACCGTTACGGCGGGTGTTTTCTTAAACCAGCATTGACCTAGTATATGTGAGAGGTCTGGGACAGGTGGTGTCATCTGCCTGGCAGGTCTGATCAGATGAGTTTAGGCCAGCTGGCCACAGCTGAAGGGGAAGTGCATCATTTGTCCCCTCAGGTCAGCTGGAGGTCACTGGGAATGTCACTGAACAAAAGGCCAGTATAGGAGGCTCAGGAAGAGCCTCTTTAACTGCTGTATAAAAACAACCTGTCAGTAGTTGTTAGATAGTTCATCTGATTTTAAAATAAAATAAAAAATTTCTAGTTAGCCGTAGGTGAATTTTTCTTTTTGCATATTCCTACACAATTTCAGTACAATTAAAAAATGAATGTGGATGAGCCAAAGATCCAGGATTGGAGCGTAGACATCATTAGTGACCCTTTTACCTCAGGCAGACCTGAAAGTGAAATGTCTTCATTGCATTACCCGTAGTTATCAAAAGCCAGAAAGCAGCAGTCTTCCAAATGATTTTGTCAATTCTTGCAATGATTCTTGCTGTGTTTAAAAAAATAAAAAATAAATAAATAAATCATGTCGATGCAGTATCTAAGCCACAAGGGCAGCAACCTATTGAAAAGTCTGCATTCAGTGGGGTGAAAAGCTCTAGATAGTTTCCCTGCCATTGACTGGTTTATGTCTCATGACCTCCCTCTGACCACAGCGGACTGCCCTTTTTGTATTGTTTTGTGGGTAAAGGTGTGGTTGTGCTTTTGTCTGTTTGGTGTGGTTTATTCTCTTACCAGTTCAGATCAGATTTTTGGTGAAGTAAAAAAAAAAAAAAGAAACACTGAAAAACATTCCAGCTTTAACCAGAAAACACATTCAGAACAGAAAGGGGCTCTGCCACAACCTTTGCTGGCAAGATTTATTTGTGAAAGTAGTTCAGTAGGTTAAAGCCGAGTTCACATTACACGATTTTTAGCCTGATTCGCTGCTCGGCGACCGTCGGGCTGTGATTGGAGGTAAATCAGCGGTTGATCGGCAGTCGCCACTAGTTATGTGTGAATTATTCAATAACTGATCAAAACGGCTCAACACATTGCAGACGTCTGCCAGATATCTAGCATGCCAAATATCTTGCGGAGTCGGCCGACTCGACATCCACATCCAGCCAATGAGAGCAGGCTGCTGGCACCGCAAAACACTTTTTACTCCCCTCAGCTCTCTATGTACCACTGACGATCCCTGCTACCTCAGTGTGCTAATCCATTCTTTCACACAGATTTTTTGTCTTTATAATTGGTATCTTTATAATAACAAACAGCTGTTTCGTGTCTAGGTTCGCATCATTTGCCGTTTCACATTGCACGTCGCTGTCAGCTCGTGTAGTGTGTGACCCCCTGTCACCGATCAGTCACGTAGTGTGAACGCCACAGCGACTTTAAGACTCCTGTCACAAGACGGCAAGTTGTGTAGTGTGAACGGCACGGCCATCGGCCGATGCTGAAAATCGTGTAGTCTGTGCGACTCTTAAGTGAGAGACTGTGGAGTAGAAAGGTTGCAGTGTGTATTCAAAGTGAGTGCAGGTGTGAGTATTTATTTGTGTACCTGAGAGAGGGAGTTGCCTTGCCTTTTCTCTGGTTAACCTGGTGTGTGAATGTTCTGAACAGACCATCTGCTGTCTCGTCTAGTGTCCCGACCGCATTCCTGTCTTGCCTCATCCCAATTGTCCTCCTCTTCTTCCTCCTCCTCCTCCTTGGTTGAAGGTATGCTTCTTAGAAGATGTAGACTTTCTTTCTGGAAAGGCACAGACGTTTTAATACCACTGAGGAAACGCACGCAAACTACAACGCACGCAGACCACAGGTGCATGTACAAAAACACGTGCTCATGGTCCTACAGTCTTTGTGTGTGTGTGTGTGTGTGTGTGTGTGAGAGAGAGCGACATGACCAGCCTCTGTGTGTGTGTAATGAGCTGGTAACTGGAGGCTAGTATGACATATCTTCGTCTCTCTCTGTCTCACTCTTTGCCAGGTTCTCTGGAGCCTCTGTCTCTCACCACAGTTTCAGGTGCTGTCTTCTCTCAGTGGGGTGATTTCTCAGTCTTTGTTTTTTGTTTCCTTTTTGTTGTTGCTGTTTGTTTTCCTATTCAAAATGTAGATATTCTGTTATTTGTGATGGGTTGGCTTGGTCGGAAACGGGCGTTGAAATTTTATTGAACAGCAAAGTTTGAGTAGCCAGAGAGACACAAAGTCACAAATGGCCAAATTCCTGGAAAGACAGTTGCCTGTGAGTCTACAGGAAGCAGGTGATTTAGGCATTTTGCCCCCCCCCCCACAACCTAAGCGGATGTAAGGGTGTGTGAAAGTTCAGTGGGCAGAGAACAAGGTGACCTGCCAGTGTCCAGCTTCACTCAGTCAGGACACAGGGCTACCTTCCAAGTCCAACCACTCTCTGTTTATGTGTGTGTATTTGTGTAATGAAAGTGTGTTTTTGACTGAACAGGAAGTGAGGCAGACGGACATGTCTCTCACCCTGAACATCCTCCAGACTCTCGGTGTCCAGCCGCCTCCACTGCACTGGCTGTGTGACTCATACTTTCCACATCCCAGTGGATGTTAGTGGAAGTCCAGCCCGGCAGCTTATAGTCACACATGCTTTTTAGAAAGATGGTGTGTTGGTCTAACCCTGACTGCAAACCCTTTTCCCAGTGGCCCTTATTTACACACTTTGTCAATGTGCACATTTACAAGCTGTTCATAGTTTTACCAGAGAGCTCTGGGACCTCTAAAAGAGAAGAGACACAAACAAGCAAGCCTTCTGGAAGTTTTTTCTCCCCCTTTCTCCAATGGCTACTAGTCCCATATCCTGTTAGGAGTGTTTAGTTTGAGACGGTGCAGTTAAAAACTCGCTTTCTGTAAATGGTGCTTTGTGCCTGAAGGCACTGCTACCTTGTCTGATCCCTGCTGTGTAAATAGAGTTTGCAAGACAGACGCCACCAACAGATAGCAACAAGCTGAAGCCTTATCTCAAGAGTTACTTTAGTACCTGGCAGACAATGAGTTCATTTTGCCTTTAGGGGTTGTGACAGATACTTGTACTTTTCCACTGAGACAAGATCATGTTGTCATTTGTATTGGGGTTTTTTTTTGTCTGGCAGGAAGTAACACAAACTCCCATTGATGAGTGTCATTTTAAAACTTTTCGTCTACGTGTTTTCATGGCGTGTCATCAGGCACGCTCTAACGAAATGGACTATTACAAAACATCTGAATGACAAAATCCCCAGTACCATTTATTTTAAAATGTAAAGGAATATTATGCAACTGTATAACTAACTGTGCTGTCATCGGTTTGACTTAACAGAGTCATGAACTTTTCTTAGGTAGAATAAAATATGCTATTTCAAAATAAGAATGGCCTTTAGACACACTTCCCCTCCCTAGTGAACATAATCTCACTCATAACCTCACGGCAGAACGTAGTGAACATAGCTGTATGTTGCTTGTCTGCCACAGCCTTGTTTTGTTGCTTTGCGTTGGCCCAGAGTCAGAAATGTCAGACGGAGAGAACAGCCTTCCTCTGTCTGTCTCCCTGGCTGGGCTGACACAGTGGCTGCGGCACAGACGGCAGACAGCTGCATCTCTCTGGCTTCCTCTATTTTCTATTTGGAAACCAGTGACTTCATTACCGCAGACCAGTGCAGCTGCACTCTCTGGCTGTCTCCTGGGCTGTCTGCTCTGTCTGTCTGTGTGCTTGTCAATCATTCTCTTGGGCTGTAACTAATTGGATTTTGGCAGGCATGGAAATCGTTCACTGTGCTGTTTTAGCTATCTTTTCCTCTACTCTACCCTCTATCTTGACGTCCGTCTTCAATCTGCCTTCTTCTCCTGGGTTCATGTCCTCACCCATCTTGACTTATGGCCTTCAGCCTGCTCTTTCCTCTATCATCATCGTCCCTTTCGTCTAACCCAGACATGTCTTCTGTTGCTCACATGTGTCTGTAAATAGTCAATACCCCCTGGGCCCCCATCAGTGGACAGTAACAAAATAAGCAGCCAAATGACCCGATAAGTTGATCGTTGCATAAACAATAAGGCCACTTGTGTTCGCTGCAAGGCAGATAAGAGGAAAGCCAGTGGCTATTGATCGGGTCTCCGACCTTGATGGATACGGTGAGTTGTCTGGTGACACGGACACGGACCAAGAAGGAGGCAGGAGGAAACGGATAAGAAAAATGAGGAGACTCAGTTACAAGGGCGATGTTGCATAAGTTCCTGTCTGTGTTCAGACACCAGTCTCCCAAGTTAACCTCACCTCTGCTTCAGCAGTGGCATGCCTTAATGTTTGTAACTCAGGACAGGATACCAGACAGAAGTAGATGCAAAAAGACTCCCTGTGGTCAGAAAACATTCCACCCCCATGGACAGGCACTTGAGCACACTAGGTATGGGTGGGTAGGTAGGCTTATTGTCACAATATAACAAGTTATAGAGTGAAATTGAGTTTTGTAACTCCCTTCTGCTACATGGCGTACAATATAAATAATATATTAATAATGTATTAATAAAATATAAAGGGGCGGAGAAGATAAGTAGAGTAAGAAACGAAGAAGGTGAGAGGGACAGAACAGGTGGCCCTGGCTGTTGTCTCAGTCACAAACGGCACTCAACTTTGTCTTCCACGAAACAGGCCGTGGCCACAGCAATCAGGTTGTTACAGAGGGCTAGAGCCCCAGCGCCTTTTTCACAGAGTTGAAAATTAACCTCCCCAAAGACCTGAGCTGAACCGCAAATGTAGCCTGGAACAGCCCTCTTGGTTGACCAATCACATGCCGACTAGCTCGCATTTTCCCAGCTCTCTCCTTTGCCCCCCACCCCAAGACACCCATTCACATATTTCAATGTCTGTTTCTATGTCTATGCATTTTACAAAGAACAATTATCCACTTATGCTGAGTACACAGCAGCTTCTTTGAACGCTGGCCCGGAGACCTACAGTCAATCGTGCCTGTTTGTAGTTTTGTGTGGGAGACTGTCGTGTACCCTGTGCACAACAGGCTGTGCCTTGGCCAGTGTTTGCTGCCTGTTGTAAAGGGCTAAATGGGGCCCCGAAAGGTAGGAGGGGCTGAGCTGAGGGGCCTCTGCAATGTCACCATCAGGTCAGTGCCAGTATCACAGCTCCATAGCAGCATTGCTCGCTGGAGAAACGCCAAAGTCATTACATCTCATTCTTTGATTTAAATAGCAGGGCTCGACAATAACGGTGGCCCAATGGCCCGGGGCCAGTAAAAAGTAACGTCGGGACTGTTGAACTAGCAACTTACTGGCCCGATCAACATTAATATTAAAAAAACAAAAACAAATAATCGCATTAGAAACTCCTGCAGTTGTTTTGCAGCTCACCGTCCAATCCAGAGTTGTACTTGCATGACGAGTGGTTGTCAAATGTTATTTCTCTAATCTTAATCAAGCAGCAACCTCTGGGTCTGAAAGTGAAACCGAGGAGACGGGACTTAAACCTGCATTCTCTCTAATGGCCAGCAGGGGGCGAGTCCGCAGGTTGCAAGAAGAAGTCCGGTTCCATTAGACATAATGGTAAAATGACCCTACTCCTCACCTGAATTATTCCCTCAGTAAACACTTTCCTAGTGAGTTTATGGTCTCAGTCTCTAGTTTCAAGTCTTCTTCAACAAACCTATGTTCATTTATTAAATTATGGGCCTATTTTGGGGGAAATAGACCAGAAAGCAGCGTATGCTATAGGACGGGACTACCTTGTGATTGACATGTCGCTCCCAGCGGCGGCCTTAACACTCCCATGGCGACCTGTCAATCAGGATAGAGGCGACGCTACACTGTGAACATTTGTCTTTATTGAATGGCTGTCAGCAGGAGAGATAGCTTGTCATGTTTGAGTCTGTTAGTATGTTTTGTTTTAAAAGTAAATTGTTTTGTTAACCTTTTTTAATGTAATTTAACAGTGATTACATTTAGTTTAGTTTTATATCCAGGATGTATTTAATAAATGATTAAACATGTTAACAGTACAACATAACTTATAAGTCGTTGGTTTTGTTGTAACACTGATAAATAACTTTTGGAGGGAGGGACAGTAAAAATTGTCTTGGGCCAGTAAGTTTCAAACCACTGGCTTGGGAGGGACAGTTGCAAAAAAATTAACGTTGAGCCCTGAATAGATCATAATAATCTTTTCATGTTTTTAGTTTCAGAACCAACATTTGAAAATGGTCACAGGCCTCAGCCACCGTTTTGTTCATTACTTGGGTTTCTTGGGCGCAACAACCCCACATTTACAAATTTAGCATTGCTTAGCCGGTGGCAACTTCCCGCCACAGCCTCTTATTTTTGACTGTTTCCTTGACTTGGACTCTTTTCCCACCTCACCACCAGAAGAAGAAGATAATTTGCTGTTATGGGACTGATGTGAGCTAACCACAGAAGCAGAGATAGGTCAGTACAGATATAGTGGAGCCTCTGCCACGTCTGCCAACAGTCTCATAGACTAAACAAACTGGCTAAGCCCCTCCCCAGCCAAATGTCCTGCAGGCTTTAAACGAGTCCTAGACTGACAGCCGGTTTGCATGTTCACTGTGCTCTGCCCCCTACCCCCGCCCCCGGGGTGTCAGACCAGTTTGTTTCTTCTAAAGAAAATGAGAGCAAGAACAAGTGAAAGAGAGGGGACTATAATGGGCTACAAGTTCAAACAAGACTGTAAGAAGAGAAGGCGGCTTAGATTGTAACAC